TTTCCGCCTTCTTCCTTCTGAGGAACCGCTCGGCTTGCTCTCCTCGGACCTTCAGATCTTTCCAGGTTTTGGACGGTGCTGTACCCATTGCTTCCAACACGTCCAGTGCGAGGTTGTTGTGGCAAGTCTGGAGAATAAACTCCTCAGTGATTGGGTCCCGGCAGTTCATCGCCTTGTTCCGGAATCTCTTGATGAAGGTGTCAACCAATTCCCCGTCCTTTTGTTTCTTATCAAGCAATGACCCGATGGATATCTCGGTGTCGTCGTCGAAGAAGTTAGCGAGGAACTTAGTCTCCATGTCATCCCAGCTGTTCACGCTTCCTGGCTTGAGGCGGCGATACCAGTCGAAGGCAGCTCCACGAAGAGTGCCAACGAAGGACCGTACCATCAGAGGCTCATTACCAGAGATAACCCCCAGGTATGATTTGAAGTAAATCAAATGCTGAGTAGGTGAACCCATCCCATTAAACAGCATGAAGTTAATTAGATTGAACTTCACCGGATATGAGATCGATTCCCATTCTCTTGGGTATAGACAAGGAATGCCATGAAACTTTTATTTTAATTTGTTTTAGATAGTTTCATGTATTTTTCTTTGAAACAATTAGGATATTAACTCTTGTTATTAGTATTGAATATTTGAGGATGGTGGAATTTTATTTATTAATGTTATTAATGAATAAATTTTTTATTTTCCCTCTTATTCATTATTGGGTATTTTTAATATATTTTTGTTGTGAATCTTAGTGTCAGGTTGAGAATAATATGATAGTTGCCTATGAATTAAAAAATTATTATTAATATATATTAGAAATTTGTAGTCTATAATAACCGTTTTATAAACCGTATTTTGCTCATCAACGAAGGGAAAGCACCGTCGTTGATGGGTTACTAATTATCCATTATGATAACTTTTATGACGGTATCCAACCGTCATTAATTAGTCTTTAATGATGAGAAAATATCCCTATAACTAATGATAACGATGGGAAAATATCCCCGTAACTAATGGTAATGACGGGAAAATATCCCGTCACTGAGGGTAACGACGGAAAAATATCCCCGTAACTGATGGTAACGACGGTGATAATTATCGTCGTAAATATTAAAGACGATAATATGTTCCCGTTATAGACTCTATAATGACGGGTAGTATATCCCTTCGTGACCCTTTAGCGAAGAGGGCTTCAACGACGAGTGACAAAGAGATTTTTCCCCGTCGTTAGCATACAATAACGAAGGTTTTCAGCTCTTTAACGAAGGAAAATCCCTTCGTTAAAGATGTAATTTCTTGTAGTGGATAAAAGTTTATACTCTTGAATAAATCTCTTAACTATCATATGTTTAGAGGACTTGTTAAATCCTCTAACATTCCAAACAATAGAGGGGTCTAAAAAATGTGTCTGATGATCTAGGATAGAGAACTGAGATGCTTGAAATAAGGGACCTGATACCCTTGCATTTGTTCTTCTGGCTACATTGGCTCTATTTACACTTGTGAAACCTGAGACATTGATAGTGGGAGAAGAGAACTAATAACTAGGTACATTGCAGCTGATATCATGTGTATATTTTCCATACCAATATATCTGTTCTGGAGTGCCCAGATTTCTCCCCGGAAATTTGAACACCCAAACTACCCTGCCCAGATTTGTTTCTGCTCATATTTTCACTTTGTTGTTGCTGTACATGTTTCTGTGCATGTTCAGGCTGCGAATCCATTCCAGTTTCACCAGGAACTCTCTCCTCTTCTCTTCTCTATGCAAATTCATCTTGTGCAACATTTTCAACCTACTCAATTCCTTTTCCAACATCTCTCAGTTGTTTATCTTGTATAGGCCCTATTTCTAGTTGTTTGCAAACAGGAACCCACACTTTCCTTGTATATCTTCTACATTGATCTGTCTCATGCCCTACTCTCATGCCCTACTATGTTACATAAAGAGCACCCTCTAGGCTTGAATTCATATATAACACTCTGATTATAACATTTGCCATCAGGATCCTGCATAACAAGCTGATCAGGTAGAGGTTCTTTTAGAGGTAATTTCACTTCTAACAACACTCTAGCATAGCTCAATCTTTTCCTTGTTACTGTGAGGTTATTAGTGGCAATTGGGCATCCAATTAAGCTAGCAATCTTACTAATTCCAGTATAGCTCCACAAATTCAGTCGTAAATTTGGAAATTGCACCCACATAGGGTAACTGAAATCCTACACTTTCTTCATATCCGTGTCAATAGCCCAAGGTTTAAGTACCAGTGGCCTTGAACCAAAGAACCAGGGACCAGCCTCCAAGACATCTCTCATTTTTTCCTCTGATTGAAAATCAAATAGGAAAACTCCTTGCTTAATCAATAAAACTTGTGGAATTGAAATTTTACCCCATAACTTGGAAACATAAGATTCTATAGATTTAAATTTGGCATTCAATCCAATCACATGAACTATCAAAGCATGTTTCTAGAGTCCTTCTCCTTCTTTACATTCGTCCGTAAAGAATGCAACAGTGTTAACTTGAGAAGAAGGGAAAAAAATTTGAGGACAAGCCCTTTCCAGCTTTCCTATTATTAGCAAAAAGACGGGCATATGATTTTCTCATACCAGACTGATTGTTTCCAATCTCAGGATTTGATTCTTCATTATTGAACTGATTGTTTTCTACATTCACATCATTCATACAAGAATTTTATTTTCCATTAATAGCTTCTTCTAGATCTAGATTTTCAACATGAATATTAGATTTTTCTTTTATAGCTTCTTCTTCAGGATTATTACCAAATTCCATATATTCCTTGATTGTTTGAGCTTTTGAAAGAGTAAAAATCTCCGTATTTTCTTCACCTACAGAGGCATTTTCAATCAAGTCAGATTCAGTGCAATCATTTACCTCATCAGCCCATGAATTTGATAGAGGAGAATTACTTAACTGACGGATGATCCTAAGACCAGATCTCTCCTGTAGCACAGGTGGATCTGATAAAGGATCCGATCTTTCTAGGACTTCACTCAACTACAGCTTCTTCTTCACTTCTTTTGGACCGGTGCTCTCCATGATTCTATAGATCAAGGACACCGTTCCATCGGATTCACCTCCAGAATTGGACGAAGAGGGAAAAACGAGCATCGAATCCCTCAGCTCACTTCTTGACACCCTCTTATCGCTGCTCTTCTTCTTCCTCCTCATTTGAAACTAGGCGGAGGTGCACGTTAGCAAGGAGAAAATCGCTTGCTAAAATGCACCATCAGACAGCCCGCCCCTATTTGGCAAGATCGCTCTAATATTATATCATATTAATAATAATATTATATTATATTAAGAATAAAATAATAATATTTTAAAAATATTATATAATATATAACAATTACAAATTAATATACCGAAATAATTAATATAGAATTATTTGAAAATAAAATGTAATAATTATAATATACTAATAATTATAAAATAATATAACTCGTTTAAGTATAATATTAATATATTATACACTAAATAATTTAATATATTATAAAGTAGAATAATTTATTATATAATATATAACAATAACAAATTGATATACCAAAGTAATTAAATATATAATTATTTGAAAAATAATATGTGATAATTATAATATAATGGTAATTATAAAATAATATAATTCATTAAAGTAAAACATAATATTATAATACATTATATAATATAATATAATATAATATTTAATACTTATAATACTATAATAATATAAACTAAAATTATTGTAATATATTATATTATAATTAATATATAATAATTAATAATATATTTAATATTAATGTTGTAATATGTTAAATTAATGTTGAACACAAATACTCAACATGGTGTTTTGAAAACATTTGAAGGAAAAAACACAACACTATAATGTTTTTTTTACAAAAATACAACAAGGAAAACCCCACGTTATCCAAAGGAAGCCTAAAGACTTAGACTAATGTTTTCAATCCATTTGGCCTTTTTCCAGCCTTTAGAAATAACGTAATTCATTAAGATATCTAATTGTCCGAATTCACGAGCCCAAATTAAGTACATCGATCAACATGTCTCGGAACCCTAATAATTACTTCTCAACCTTAGTCTGTAACGTAACAATATTGCAGCCCTCATGGTCTTATAAAAGAGGGTGTGGGTCTCCTCTCCGTCCATTAAATTCATCAAGCTCGACTGATAGCTTGGTAACCAAAACCCTAGTCCTTGACAATGTCTACAACTTTTTTACTAAATCTCTTTGTTTTCAATCTTCTTTTATCTCTTAGGGTTGCAACAACTGATCCTATACTATCATGTAGCCAAACACCCTACCCTAAAGTCTGTACCTCTCTCATGAGTAACATTAGTTCTCAACTCTCCAATCAAACGACCACCGCATTAAACTTTCGAAATTTAGTCATCCAAGCAACCATGGAGCGAGTTACATTGACCCATCAGTTAGCATTAACCATGGACCAGAGTTCACTCGATGAGCGAGCAAAGGCTGCATTGGCCGACTGCTTGGTCCTCTATGAGGACACCATTAGCCAACTCAACCGCTCGATGGATGCTTCATCATCACATGAAGATTCACAAACGTGGCTTAGTGGTGCGATTGCGAACCACGAGACTTGCAAAAACGGGTTCATGGAACTCGACTCATCATTCCATTTGCCAACTTCACCGTTCATGACCAACAACATATTCGAGTCCCTCAGCAACTCTCTCGCCATTAACAGGGCGATAGTGATGCCCATTAGTTCCATTGGCAATCGCAAATTGCTGTCTAATGGATTCCCTTCATGGGTCTCCGCAATTGATCGCAAACTTCTTCAGTCATCTTCGGTGGAGGCAAATATCGTGGTGGCTCAAGATGGTTCTGGGAATTACAAGACGATCTCTGAAGCAGTTGCGGCCTCTGTTAAACAAAGTAGTGGGGGATCAAGATTTGTGATCCATGTCAAAGCCGGAACTTACGATGAGAAGGTTCAGATCACGAAGTCGATGACGAATCTAATGTTGATCGGTGATGGTGCTGGTGTTACTGTTATTACAGGAAGTAAGAGTGTGCAAGATGGTACAACTTTCAATTCGGCAACAGTTGGTAAGTTTGTACTTTGGAGATAGATACATATATATATATATGAGAAAAATGGAGAAACTTGGTACCAAGTTGCTCCAAGCAACTTGGTAGTGACGTGGTCTAATCTTGTCCCTACATCTACATTGGAGTTGGTGAAGAATGGTTGAGGCTCTATCTTCGAGGTGTGATGTAGGGGCAAAATTAGGCCACATCACTACCAAGTTGCTTTCAACAACTTGGTACCAAGGTTCTCCATTTTTCTATATTGTTGGCATCGTACATGTTTGAAAGCGATTGCTGGGTTGTAGATTTCTTTAGTTAGTTCTCTTCCAGAAATTAACTACAAAATGTCAACGAACTTTTTCATCCTAGGCGACGAAAAATTTGTAGTTTCTTGATATATATCTTACTAATGGAGGGTCGTTGGAGGAAGGTTTGGTTATTAAAAACACAGATGATGACTGACTTTCTTGAAAGGCGATAGATATATATCATATCATGGGAGAATGGCATATAGAAAATTGTAGATAGTATATATACAACTCTAAAAACGAATAATTAATAAAAGTTTACCGCATAATGCATGGAACAGCCAAAAAGAATATTAGTAGTACGTTACTAATTTTACAATAGTTAAAAGAGTATTCTCGTTTTGCAGCTGTGACTGGAGGAGGATTCATCGCCAAGGACATAACATTCCAAAACACCGCCGGTCCAGAGAAACAACAAGCCGTGGCACTCCGCTCCGGCTCCGACCTCTCCGTCTTCTACCGCTGCAGCTTCGAAGGCTACCAAGACACCCTCTATGTCTACTCCCAACGCCAGTTTTACCGGAACTGCGACATCTACGGCACCGTCGACTTCATCTTCGGCGACGCCATCACGGTCTTACAGTCCTGCAACATGTACCTCAGAAAACCCTTAACGGGCCAAGAAAACACAGTCACGGCCCAAGGCCGTTCTGACCCCAACGAGAATACTGGCATCTCCATCCAGGACAGTAATATCGCTGCCGCGCGCGGAGAACCTGGGCTCGACCAGGTCGTACCTGGGTCGGCCATATAAGGCCTACTCAAGGACGGTGGTGATGAAGACAGCAATCGGAGACGCGATTGCTCCAGCTGGGTGGCTGGAGTGGGATGGAAACTTTGCGCTGAGCACGCTGTATTATGGGGAGTACATGAACAGCGGGGCTGGAGCTGGGACTGGGGGTCGTGTTAAGTGGCCTGGGTACCATGTTATGAGTTCGTCGGATGCGAATAAGTTCACCGTTGAGAATTTCTTAGGGGGCGGGTCTTGGATTGCTGCCGCTGGGGTGCCGTACACTGCTGGGCTCTAGCTAGCTAGCTAGGGTGGATATATATACGTTGGCTGTTGAACGGGATTAATTGATTTGGATTATTGTTGAGTATTTGAGTTATAAGTTGATAATATGTTTGTATAGGAACAATTTAACAAATCAGGCCACGTAAAAATAAGGGCGCTTGAACGAAAATAGGTTCACCAAGACGAGGAAACTTATGCTCGGCCGCCGGGGTTATTCATTTTCAATGACGTCGATCAATAAATAATTCTTATGTTATTGTGAAGGGTAACGCACTTGATTGTGATGTAATACTGTCAAATATGCTCTTAATGATATATCTGGAAGGAAATCCCTCTGGCATGATATCTTGGCTTTCAAACAATCTGTCACCAGTCCCTGGGTTATTGGAGGAGATTTTAACTCTATCATCAATAATGGAGAGAAAATTGGTGGTGCTATGGTAACTGAGTCAGAAACTGAAGATTTCCAGGATTTCATATCCTCGTGTCAGTTTGTGCATCTCAAAACCACAGGATGCTTTTATACTTGGTGTAATAAGCAAGATAAAGACACAAGAATCTGGAGTAGACTCGATAGAGTTCTTATCAATGAAGAATGGGTGCAACAATATACTTCAAGCCAAGTGGAATTCCTACCTCCATCTTGTTCAGACCACTCTCCAGCCCTTATTACCATTGTTGATGATACTTTTGAGGGTAAGAGGCCATTCAAATTTTTTAAAATGTGGACTAACCACCCTGATTTCCTCTCAGCAGTAAAATCAGTCTGGGACCAAGATGTTGTGGGTTACAGAATGTTCAAATTTCATACTAAACTAAAGAAGCTCAAGGTTGTCTTAAAGGAGCTGAATAAAAAGCATTTTATGAACATTAGTGAACAAGTGTTGAGGGCTAAGGATCAACTTGCAGAGGCTCAAAAGCAACTAAACTCTGATTTGTTCAGTCCTGTGCTGATTGCTAAAGAAAGGGAATGTTTAAGCAAATATGTCAGGCTTCTTAACTGTGAAACATCTTTCTATAGGCAAAAAGCCAATATCAAATGGGGGATCTATGGTGACAAATGCACTCATTATTTTCATGCCATTATGAAAGCAAAAAGGCACAATAATAGAGTCTTATCTCTATATTCTGATAATGGAGATAGAATCACTGAAATGGATGATATCATTACAGAATTCACTGAATACTATCAGAGACTCCTTGGCACATCTCCACCTGTTTCCAGACCAGATTCTGAAGTGATTGCAAATGGCCCTATTCTTTCCTCTTCTCAAAGCAATGATCTGATCCTCCCTATTTCCAGAGAAGAGATAAAACAAGCTATCTTTTCTATGCCTGATGATAGAGCTCCTGGCCCTGATGGATATAATGCCTCTTTCTTTAAAGCAGCTTGGAACATATTTGATGAGGACCTATACCTTGCAGTGGAAGAGTTCTTTAACTCTGGCAAACTTCTGGGTGCTATAAATACCACTTCAATCACATTGGTGCCTAAGGTTTTAAATCCTAAAACTCCATCTGATTTCCGTCCTATTTCTTGTTGTAATTGTGTCTACAAAATCATTTCTAAGATTATTGCTTCCAGAATTCAGAGGGTTATGGGTTTTCTAATCAGTGAAGGCCAAAGTGCATTTGTTAAGGGGAGAATTATTTCTAATAATATCCTTCTTGCTCATGAACTTATCAAGCACTATGGTAGGAAGCATTCATCACCTAGAGCTACTCTCAACATTGATTTGAGAAAAGCCTTTGACACCATTAGTTGGGACTTTATTGAAGCTATGCTGGTGGGACTTGTTTTCCCAAATAGAATGATTAAATGGATTATGGAATGCATCACTACACCAAAATTCTCTCTGTCACTTAATGGATCTCTTCATGGATTTTTTCAAAGTGCTAGGGGTTTACGGCAAGGAGATCCTCTTTCTCCTTATCTCTTTGTACTGGGTATGGAATACCTGTCTAGAAAACTCAACTCTCTCAGACATGATGGGTTATTCAAATTTCATCCAATGTGCTCAAGATTAAACATTACCCACTTGTTCTTTGCTGATGATTTGCTGCTTTTTGGGAAGGCTGATATGTACTCTATTATTAAGCTTCACAACTGCCTCAAAGAATTCTGTCAGGTCTCTGGTTTGAGTATTAACCCTAACAAATGCTCAATCTACATGAATGGGATTGATGAGAATCTCAAAGCTCAGATTTGCTCATACCTTAATTTCCCTGAGGGGGTTTTACCTGTGAGGTATCTTGGTATGCCATTGATTACAAAGAGATTGACCTGGATGGACTGTTCCCCCTTGATTAGCAAAATCTCAGAGCAGATCCAGAATTGGCAAAAGAAAAGATCACTATCCTTTGCTGGCAGATTGCAGCTGATTAAAACTGTTATCCTGGGTATATATATATATTGGACTAGCAATTATCTTTTGCCTAAGAAAGTTCTTCAGAAAATTGATAGTATGTGCTCTGATTTCCTTTGGAACCATAAGATATCATTAGTATCTTGGGTTTCAATCTGTCAAGAGAAAAAATCTGGAGGCTTAGGTGTTTTCTCTGCTAGCTTTTGGAATCTTTCAGCGGCGCTTAAACTCTTATGGATGATCCATCTTAAGAAAGACATCTTATGGATAAAATGGATTCATGGTCATTATCTGCAGAGAGCTGATATCTGGCAAGTTCAGTCAAGATCAAATGACTCTTGGATGTGGAAACAAATAATAAAAGCCAGAGACAAATTGATTAACAGATTTGGGAATGTAGATAATCTGCAGGAAATTATTGGTAAATGCTGCTCTGGAGGAAAAGTACATATATCATCTGTTTACAGGTTACTGATACAACCTGCACCTCTAGTTGACTGGGCAAATACTGTTTGGGACAATATACATTTTCCTAAACATGCTTTCATCCTTTGGCTTGCTGTTCAATCAAGATTATTAACTCAGGACAGACTATGCAAGATGAACATCCTCAATACAAATCAATGTGTTCTTTGTTCAAGATATCAAGAATCCTGCTGTCACTTGTTTTTTGAGTGTCAGTTTTCAAATACTGTCTGGAATCTGGTGCTGGATTGGCTGAACTTCAGCTGGAGGTCGTGTGACTGGAGATGTATTGTTAATTGGTACAGTCATAGGCTGAAGAGGAAGGGTTATACTGAAAAACTCAAGAGAATTGCTTTATCTGTTTCAGTATATCTGATTTGGCAGGAGAGTAATCAAAGAATTTTCCAGAGTAAAGCTAGACAACATGTGGCAATCTTCCGAGATATTAAGTTCTCTATTTTCTCAAAAATTTTGAATGAAAAAAATCCCAATTCATGTAAGAGATAGAGTTGAGTGTCTGTATATATCTTAGTTGAGTTTTGAGAACCAGTTTCTTATCTGGTTTTGATATGATGTAATTAATTCTTCCAAATTGGTAAATGAATATAAAGTTTTCATTGACCAAAAAAAATACTGTCAAATAGAGTGTCCTGTTGTAAAACCGTAGGTTTCGTTTGTCAATTCTACGAACAACACTTTGAGTTTGATGTACACGAGCAAAGTCAATACAACAACTAAAGTCTTTTATTAAAATTTTGGGCTACTTGAATCTGCTCTTACATTGAGTTACGTTGAAGGTTATATCATCTACTAAGGTGCTGTCGTGGTCGACTTAAAATAGTATCTACTTCAATTCTATTTGGCCCACCTCTAAATTATTTTCCTCCATTAATTATAATACATATTTGCTCCTGCTAACTTTTCCATTTAATGACCTTTGCACATAATCAAGCCATCTCTGAAATAATTCTCGCTCACTTCATCCTCTGTAGGGTCAACCTCTAGCTTACTACTATTGCATTCATAATTTATTCTAGCTCTTAGTAAATATAGATTTAGATGCTCAGAAAAATTGATGAGATGAGCAGGAAGTTCTTGTGGGGCAGTTCTGAGCAGTCTACTAAAATTCCTCTCATTTCGTGGGATAAAACTTGTTTAAGCAAGAGACATGGTGGCCTGGGCATTTTTTCAGCAAGTAATTGGAATTTTGCTTCTATACTAAAAATTCTTTGGCATTTACATATCAATAAGGAGAGTTTGTGGATTAAATGGATCCATAATACCTACTTAAAGCAACATGATATCTGGTCTGTTCAAGCAAAAACTGGAAATTCTTGGTTATGGAAACAGATTTTGAAGATTAGAGATAAAGCTTTGAGGTTATATAATGGAGTTGATAATTTGAAGGATCTCATTCAATCTTGCTGCAGGGATTCAGATATTAAAATTTCAGCTCTATATACTGCTCTATCTCCTACTCCAGGTTCAGTTCCTTGGTATAATACAATCTGGGATGCTGCAAACATTCCCAGACATTCCTTCATCAGCTGGTTAGCAATGCAAAATCATCTCCTTACTCAAGACAGGCTTAACAACTGGGGGATTGTGAATAGCAATACTTGCTCCTTATGCTCTGTTTCCAGCCATGAAACTAGAGACCATCTCTTTTTTGATTGCCCATTTTCGAAGGGTGTTTGGAACAATTAGTTTAATTTGTTTTAGAGAGAAAGAGAAGGAGAGAGAGAGAGAAAGAGAAGTAGAGAGGCAAAAAAGAAAGGAAAGAAAAGGAAAGAGGAAGAGGATTCTGGCAATTTGAAAAGCATGAACGGATAGGGATTCTAATTTCAGAGATCAATAAAGACAATATCATCTCTTTCCAAGCCCATCCCCATTTAGTTTTGATATTGATGAAAATTAATGAATTTTAGATCAAATCCCAAAAATAAAGAAAATACATGATATTGATGAAAATTAATGAATAGAATATAAGACCAAATTTCTAAAGACATAATATTGCTAGAACTATAAATACATGTCCATCGCTGGAAATACTATTACTATTCATACATACGGAACTATTTATAAGTACGATTACTATTTATATGTACAGGGTACTATTTATGAATACTACCACTATTCATACATGTGGTACTATTCATAAGTAATCTTACTTTCATAAGTA